ACAGAAAGCAAGGACTGGAAGCCATCAAGCTTCGACGTTCTCCTATTTACAAAGTTGCGCTTAAAATAGTCAAAATCGGGTCTCGAAGCCTGTTTTGAGAGCTTTGGTTCAGGCTCTGACACTGAGGGGATTGCAAAAGAACCGCAAGTGTTCAAAGCTTCGAAATGGGGGGGCTTCGTTCTGGGGTTCAAGAGGATGGATTTCGTGGATTTTCGCATGCCTTCGACCGTGCACCAGCCATGGCTGATGTCGCTCGTTGCAACTACCTGCATTTATCCAAATTATACGCCGACCTCCATGCCTGCTAAACACCCATATACCACCCAATCTGGCTTCCTTTGACCTGCAAACCCTAAGCCCTAAACCCTACTCCGAACGTTCGTTCAAGATTGAAAGGCGGAACGTTAGAGGGCCAGCGTTCAGTATGCCTAAAACACTTGAAGCCTAAGCAAGTGTTTAGTGATGACGGTCGGAGGCGTCGTGCAAATCTGAAATCCGGAGTTCGGAGGCATTCAGAGTTCCCTGGTAGGAAAAAAGGTTATCGATTGTCCAACGCAAGTAGATGACAAGCTGCCTGTCTTTAGGAGTGAAGAGAAGGAGCAATTTTGGCTGAAGGGTTTAAGATATACGGTTACTGGCACGAAGACAGGGCCCACCGAGGAACCACAAGCGCCACTCATTGGTCGTGGGTTCTCCTCGGGCAGGGTAGCGAACAAGATCCACGTTCTCCTTGAAGACGACGCCTGCAGGGACAGCACTTGGCCCGCTGTGGACGGGTATTGTCGGAGAGTACATGAGGTCTCGCTTGTTTAGCACTTGCAATGATGTCTTATTCTAAAGCGGCTTGAAGACGAAGTCTTATCTTTGCATGCTGTCTTGTTCGGTAAAAGTATGTCAAAACTCCGCAGGTTCATATTGTGCTCACAGCAAGACAACCTGGTCACCTGGTCATCATGGTTCACCGCCAAGGTCCAAGTATGACTAAGCCCTGCTGCTCGCATGCACAGACCCTGATCCGAATGCACGTCATGCTCGAACCGTGTTGCAAACCATGGGACTCTAAAACATGACGTGTAGGCACCCAATCAAGCAACCCCAGAAGGCATCATCCCAAAAAGGATCCACTGCTAGAGCCCACATGGAACTAATGTAGACGCCTGACTCGCAAATTACGCTTTTGGCAGGCATAGAAAGTCGAATCCACACTGTAACCCCTTGGATCCGCAGTGTTGTAACACTAAGGTCATATATGCTCAGACTGGAGGATCAAGTCGCCAAACAATGCTCAACACAGAGGAAGACCAAGTTCTGTGACCTCTGATAGTCCAATGCAAGAGATTTGAATCAGGGGGTCTAGATTCTACATTGTACTCATTCTACTTCATAAGAGGTCAAGTCTTTCTGCCTGTCCGAAACCCTCTACCTAGGGCCTAATGCATGGGCAGAGTTTTGGCCTTGCGAGAACTTTAGTCGACTGACACTTTCTTGGAAAGTTTTGGCGAAATCTATGTTGCTTTTATCAAGATTGCATAGGGTTTCGTAACGTTTGAGGGCTTAGGGCCTTGCAGTGCCGTTGGGTATCACTTTCCTAGGACGTGGGACTACACAAGGGCAACATCAACCCTACCCTCTAATGCCCTGTACCCGCCGCAAGCACGGCGCACGGTTCAAAACCCAACCCTAAACCCCAGCCAAACCCGCAAGCCTAAAAAGCTCTGCACAACCCTTACGTGCAAGATCGTTTGAAGCCCCTTCCAAAAGCCTGTGCAACCCGTACTTGTAAGCGAGTGAAATCTCAAACCCCTTACCGCAAACCTTTGTAAACAACCCGGCCTTCGTTGAATTGAGAACCTCTGGCCGCGACGAAGTCGCAGGCCAGCTCGGACAGGTCGCCGTCGACAGGCACCTTCATAAAGCCTCGGTTGCGTGGGAGTACTTACTGCTCTAAACCCGAACCACCCAAGACCCGAGAGTACCATAGAATCCCTAGAAGTCCTCGACCCTAAACCCTGTAGAACCCAGTAGGACCATGGTTAAGAACCCTATACTACCCCATACTTTCGAAACTATAGAACAGCCAAAACAAGTCCATAGAACCCTTTCTAGGAACCCTGCAGCCTCTAATCAAGGGCCTAAATAATTAGCTATACTTATAATATAATATATAAAAGTGATAATCATACTAGTCATACTATACTTATACTTATAATATAGTATCATGAAGGTAATCAGCCAGGTCCCTGTATTAATCTGAATTGCTTCTGCGCAGCGCTGACCATGCGCCTGGTCGTGGTCTTCAAGGCTTCCCACCACGGCTTCGGAGGTGTTGTGGCTTTCGGGAACTCTTAGTTAGTTTGTGCAAGGTTGTAGGATTTTGAATCAGGGCTTCGAGTTTCGACACTTCAGGGCTCAGCCTAGAGCCCAAAGCTTCCCGAGTTGTGGCCCTGATGCCTTATTCTCGTCTATATTAAGGCTTAGGGGGTTTAGGGTTTATAGGGTTTAAGGTTTAGGGTGCCACCTGTTGTTCAGAGTCTAGTTCAGAGTGGAAGTTGGTGCACTACCAACTGGGCTAGGAAAAAAACACGGTTGGGAAGCCACTTGAGACACCCCCCCTGCTGCATGGTTTAGTCTATGCAGGCCAAACTGAGTACATCTTTTGCTACGAGGATGTGCGAAATGAAGCACTACAAATTCCACTAAACCTCAAACCTTAGCCTCTAAACAGCAAGCCCTTGATGGACAACGTGGACCTGGAACCTTGTGGCACTTGTTCGCCGCAGTCTCCGAAAGCCTCCACCTCGAAATCTACAGCCAATGACAGGAACACCGTGGAAACTTATCCCATCAAGAAGAGCTCCACCAAGAGATCCCCACACCCAGTGATAGCTCAAATTGTAAGCCTTCTGAGGTTGAGGCGAAGCTGCCGCAGACTACCAAAACACAGCCCAACCCCCTGAACCCACTGCAGGTTATACCCCTGCAACTTTCTCGAGCAGAACTCGGGAGAACGCTCAACAAACAGGGTTTTAGGATGCGCAGGTAGGCCCCTTTCTTGAGGACGAGCTTTCGGGGAAAGCCGGCAAGGTCACAGCTCATAGTGCCTGAAACCCAACCTTGACCCAACCCCCTAAACCCATCCTCATAATGTGGCCATGGAGGAAGACATGTGAAGGAACCCTAGAGTTCTCCCCTTTGTTTTGAACCAGGAGCTTGTTGGATGCCTAAAACCCTACAACCCATACTAAATCCCCAAACCCAACACCCTCATAAACTCGTAACCTCACTGGCTCAAAACCCAGGGAAATAAAAGTTGAAACTTTCAGAATCGACTACCTTGTAAGAGCCCCAAAAGTTGAAAAGTTGAGTTTGCAGCCAATAAGTAACTCCTCATGGCCCTGGTAAAAAATCAAAAAGGGCCAAAAAGGCCTTGGCGCTCTTCACGAAATCCTTGAGCAGCACGTAAGGACACCCCCAGCCTCGGTTTTGAGCGAGAACCCTCGTCTTTTCAGGCGTAGAGCTCTTAGGCATCTGGGAGTTTCCGAAAACAAGGGACCCTGCTAGAGCACCCTAAATGGTAGGATCCTTAATATAAGGACTTAAATAAGGTACCCCCAATTTTCGGAAACCCCCATCTCGGCTCTTGGATATCGGGTTTGGGGTTTAACCTGGTGGGTTTCAGAAGAGTCTAGGGTTTAGGGTTTGGGGTTTAAGGTTTAGGGTTTCAGCCCTCAGGCTCGGACCTGGGCGAGGTTCCTGGTACGCAGAGTGTCGGATCAAGGGGCAAGGGAACATCCATTGAATAAAGGACCCTTTTTGCAGCAGGCCTCGTTGTCCAGCAGCCCGGTTACAGCAAGAGCCCCCCTCTGTCCCCCGCTTCAAAGCAAGGAGAGGAGTCGAGCTGACACTCGCGACGACACTATCTGATACGACACTACCTTACTATACTGACTGATTGCAAGACTGTGAAATTCCATGAGCTCGCTCAAAAACGAATCCAGAACCCACTGTTCAAGATATAGCTCGACACTGATACCAGAAAACTCAAGCTGGAAATACTGAAGCCAGAGGTGAATGACTGATATCAGCGTCCCTGTGCGCACGAAAGTCTGCATCCCCTCAGCCTCATGTAACCAACCAAGCGTGACCACCAAATCACCCGCTGCAGCTCCCGCAGCCACATGCAAGTAGACTCCAACGTGCCAAGCCGTCTGCACCCGGTATACATCACGCCAGTGCTTGAACCCACAGATGTGTGCGACAGGATGCTGCAAACTATAAGCCGGGACTACAGAACCACCCCTCTGACTCGGGTTAGGGTAGGGGGTACCAGGATGCCTTTTGGCTGGTTTTTCCGAGCACATGTCGCGGTTGCAAGGGTCCGGGCTCAAATCCTATTTGAAGACACAAGCGCCCTTTCAAAGAGCTTCCCAAGACAAAGCAAGCGTCTGGCGACACTCTGCACGACCTCCGCAAAGTTCGCAGGTTGAACCCTGTCAGGCAGGCAGAACGATGCTGTCACACCCAATCTCTGCTTGCAAAGCTCCGGTCACCTAATAATGGGCTACTGGTTATGACGGCTACGAGTTACATGCTGTAGGTGAAATTTGAAGGCCCGAAATGTGAGCGGTAACCTGCGTTTGTGGGAGCGCTGGGTCAACAGGTCAACAGGCTGTGATCTATATGTCGGGTCTGCTGTACGAAGCTTGAGGACATGGATCTTTATCACGACCCTGCAAGGACTATATTAACTATTGCCTCAGGCCCTACTACACCAAACGTCAAAACCTTCACGAACCTAAGCTTCAAGGCGCTGATAAAAAGTCGCTGCAATTTGGGGTTCGTCCCCCAAGCCCCCCAAGTCCCATTGCCTTGTCTAGGCTCCAGACCCTTCTCAATCAGAATGTCGTGTGTAGGCTCCAGATGATATTGCGCAAGCTCAGAACTCATCGTAAGGGCTGGACGCTCACACTCGAGGTTTAAGGCTCTGGGGCACGTGTGCAAGGTTTCCTCACCCGCAGTGAACCCGGAGTAGCCTCTTCGGGTCCACAGACACCCACGCGGCACGTGGTGAAAGCGGTCGAAGGGCATCAAAGGTGGCAGGGAAAAGGTGTGCAGCCGCATACTCTGCCGGCCTGTGTGGGGAATATGGGCCTTGTTTATCAGAGTGGATTCTTTCAGGGTCTTTTGGGTGCTGTAAGGGTGTCATATGGGCTGAATATAGTGGCTTCAAGCATTTCAATAGGACCTTGGGAATCGGGTAATCTAGAATTTAAACCATGAAGGGCCTATAAGTACAAAGGGGACACTCAAACTAATTAGTCAGTCACCTGTATTGGCCTGTTGCCTACATCAGGATTCCCGACCATATGCTACCCATGGCCACCCTGTGGGGAGGTAAGTTGCCACCATGTGGTGGCACATAGGTTTGAGGGGTTTTGCGGCATAGTCTTCAGGTTCCCGAGATGGTGGAGTTAGCCTCGTTTCCTTACAAAGAAAGATCCTAAAATGCCGGCTCCTTAGACCCTTAATGTTTCTATACTTGGAGCCTGAGTACCAAGAGTCTTCGGGAACTCGTTCACCATCCGTACTATGGTTTTACCCCCTAGCCTTTTGCACAGACTTGTATATGCCCGCCAACCCTGTAAACTCTCTGCCGAATCATCAGCGCTGAGGAACCCATTCGAGTGTTTTCGGTGGTTCGAGGCTGTCAAGAACTCACTATAAACATGCAATGGTTCGAGCTCGATCACATTCAACAACGAAACAGAGAGGCTTACAGATGAGGCTTGCAGAGCCCAGGCAGAAAAGCAACAGCAAGTCGGACTGGTGGTGCCCCAAAGAACAAACGCCCCAAACCCAAGTCCCAGGCCCAAGCCCAAAACTCCTGGAACACCAAAGTCCCTGGTCCAAACAAAACGAAATAGGTTTTTGGATCGATATTTCAATGATCTGAGCTCCAGACGTGACGAGCAGCTCGACGCCGAGCTCGCGAAGCTTGTCGTGCAAGAACCTTGGCTGCCAGGGTACGGTTTATACAGGGCTTTTGTTCAAGGCTAGGGCTGTTTGAGAAGGCGGCTGGAGGCGGGCAGTGACAATTTAGGTGGGCTAGGCGTGATTCGAGGTTGTCCAATGTATCCCCCTTTACGGCGTATACAGTGCGCACACACACACACACAGACTTACTTAACATCCTCTCGAAACTTTCGAGGTCCGTGGTGCAGGGTCTCGGATGTCGGCGTAGTTCAGGGGTTTGGGGATGAGAACAGCTGAGAGTTCGCAGACCTTCTCATGATCTACATCCTGACGTCTCTCCACGAAGAAGCCAAGAGTCTGCGCGTTTTAATCAGTTGCATGCACAGGCATTTGCTTTGTATCCCTCCTTCTCTGCTACCTCAAATGCGGTTTCGCAGCTGCCGACGCCCCTTTGATAGCATGAAGCCGCGGAAGATGCCAACAAATCGGTCACCTGTCAAGCAACAGGGCTTCATGTCGGATCCACCAGGCATATTGCGATTTATCGAAATGTTCAACCCAAACCCGAGATGCGAAGGACCCTACCAAGACTCCCCCAGAGTCCAAACCGGGGTCTCACACTTCTCCCAGCTAGTAGCAAGGTAGTACAAGAACCGGAAAGCAGTTGGCGGGTCCAGGTCAATCAAACCTATACATCAGGCCGGACCAGGCGAACTGAGGATCCAAACCCTAAACTTTAAGCCCAGATCCTTCAAGACACCTTCTAATAACCCTGTAGTAACCTAGTACCCCTATAGTCACCCCCCCCATATGGAAGCCGCGAGTGACTCGCTGGCCTGTCTCCTTCTCTGGCAGTCCTGCCAATGTCACCTGAGCCAGCAGACCGACATTGGGCTTAGTCACTTCGGGTTGTATAATAACCCCATATAAACATCCTTA